GGCAGTATCACTATGGAAGTAGGATTGCCCAACCTTCCTTCCGAGGAGTGGCTGGTGGGTTTGAACCGCCAGCCTTCTGGTTAGCAGTCAAGTGATTTAGCGACTATGCTACCAGAGCTCCCAACTAACACTGTAGTATAAATATATTGGAAGGATTGTTGTTGTTATGTGCCATCGAGTCAAACCTGACTCATAGTGACCCCTCCTTGGGTTTCCAAGGCAGTATCACTATGGAAGTACATTGCCCCATCTTCCTTCTGAGGAGTGGCTGGTGGGTTTGAACCACCACCCTTCTGGTTAGCAGTCAAGTGCCTTAGGCACTATGCTACCAGAGCTCCCAATAGACAAAAGTATATGACAGGGGCAGGGGGAGGAGAGAGAAGAAGTAAGTCCTCTTCCACAGTGGAAGTCAATAGATAATGCTCAAAATGGGAACATCAAAAAGTAACTCTATAACCACATGATTTACAAACATGGAAGTAAATCCAAAATACTCAGCCAAAGGAGCAGTTACTTTTGAGGAGGAGCTGACTTTTTTTGGGGGGGAAATGAATCAAATAGAACTATTTGACTCTTTAAACTTTCTGCAAGTACAGGCAGACTTCGGAGATACTGTTGATTTGGTTCCAGGCCACCACAATAAAGCAAATATCCCAATAAAGCAAGTCATACGAATTTTTGATTTCCCAGTGCACATGAAAGTTATGTTTACACTGTACTGCAGTGTATTAAGTATATAATGTTGTTGATGTTATGTGCCGCCGCCTCGAACCCGACTCATAGCGACCGCCTCTTGGGTTTCCGAGGTAGTATCACTACTGAAGTAAACTGCCCCATCTTCCTTCCGAGGAGTGGCTGGTGGGTTTGAACCACCAGCCTTCTGGTTAGCAATCAAGTGCCTTAGGCACTACGCTACCAGAGCTCCCAAGTATATAATAGCATTATGAAAATGTTTAAAGTATTGTGAGAATCACCAAAATGTGACACAGAGACACAAAGTGAGCACATGTTTGGGGAAAATGATACCAGTAGACTTGCTTGACACAGGGTTGCCATAAACCTTCAATGTTTGAAAAATGCAGTATCTGTGAAGCTCAGTAAAGCAAACCACAATAAAATGAAGTCTGCCTGTAGAACCTTGATTTAAAAAAATTAAAACTAAAGCAAACAAATAAACCAGAAACCCCTACAAGTTCATAGCTAGAAAAACTAAAACGCAAGTGAAAGAGCAAGAGCTGAGAAGAACAGTCCTGAATATGATATATGGTTCCTGTTCATATTTGTGAAAATATGCTCTGTGTTTTCACAAGGAAAAAGTTGGAAGGATATACCAAAGTACTTTTATCTCTGGATTAAGAGTAATTTTTCCCTCCTTTTATTACACTTGTCTGAACTTTTTGCCAAATACTGCCTTTATAATCAGACAACAGTGCTATTTCATATTACAGAAAAGGGAAATAATGAGAAATGAGGGAGGAAAACTGGGTACAAAGATGTTCGTTACAGAATTATTTCTAACAGTAAAAAGTCAGAAACAACCTGTCTAGTAATCAGGAAATGGACAGTGGTGCATGTACCCAGGGAAATATTTTACAGGTGTTAAGAAGACTCTAAAATAGTTTATACTTGTATTATATGCTTTTCACCTTTAATCATGCTGCACTTTGGGCTTAGGATCCCTGTTTTCTTCCTTCCTCTTCCTTTTCAGGAAGCCTCTCTAAAACCAGTTTGTTCTGTAAACTTTCACCCAAATCACAATTAAAAAAAATAATAATAAAGCCCTCTGACAGCTACCTCCATCACCTCCCCCCTCTGAGCTCACCTCCATCCACCTGTGTGAGTTACCCTGTTCTGTGTTCTCGAGATATGTGAGCAGATGCTCTACACCGTACTTGCCACCTAGTATTACAATTGCCTGTCTTTCTCTTTTCCCCACTAAGTTTGAGCCTTCTTGAGAGCTGGGATTGGGTCTTATTTGTTTTATCACTTCAAGACAAAGCACAAGGTATAATGTATGTTAGGTACTTAATGTTTGCTGGATAAAGGAATGAGTAATGTGAAAAATGCTTGTGTTACAAGTCAAGTAGATTAGGGAAAGTAGTATCTATACTTCAGAGTATTATGAGGATTAGATGGGAAAATTCATGTAAAGCATCTAGCATAATGCCTACCACATAGATGTCCAGTGAATGGTAACCATAAAGAGAATGGTGATCATGCTAATAACTGTATACTTTTTATTTTCAACAGATAGTCCCAGTACAGGCCTTGGACCTTGTGGGTGGATTTTGGTGGCTGCCTCATTCTTATTCACACTGATAACTTTCCCAATATCAATATGGATGTGCATAAAGGTAAAGAACATTTCTTCTGCATCTGACAAGGAGTCAACTCTTAACCTACATAAGCCCACTTAGTACACCTGTGTGAGTGTGTGAGACAGAGGCCATACTGGCCTATCATTCTTTCTCCTTCATCTCGCTTTAGGTAAACTCATTCTATTATTTCATCAGAATAATGGAATCTGAATAATTCTTTTTAGCTATTATTTATCAGTCCTTCCACATGGGTTAAAATAAGGCTCACGATCTAAAATACGAAGTAAGGGATCTCTGTGAGATGGGCTTGTGAGACAAGGTCTCCCATCACCATGTCAGGGTTTGGTGGTTGGCTCCCCTGTTCAGTGTGACCTTTGCCATGTTTCTCACCTGTGAAGTGGAAGGAATTAACAACCTGCTTCATAAGGCTGCTGTGAACACTAATGAATTAGTGTATCTAATTGTAGTTATCACAATGCCTGGCACATGGTAAGTGCCCCACAAATACTGGCTGTTTTTTTCTATAAGGCTCTTAATACTCTGATAAATGTCTATCATTTACATATTACTAAAACGGTAACATATGCTCCAAGCATTTTCAGATAAATTTGTGATTATTATGATTGAAGGAATCAGGAGAAAAACTATAAGGACTTTAGCATTTATGTTTCTAAATTAACAATATATAATGTAGTTAAATAATAATATTAAGGATCGAGGTTATGAATTTGTTTTTATATAGTTCTCTGTACTTTCCAAATTTTATACAAAAAACGTCTATTGCTTTTATATAACCGGTAGAAAGCCATAGCAAATAAATAGCATGGTTGTGAAGGTGGTAATTAAACACTGAATATATGATTTATAGATGTTATCTGGTGGGTTATAGAGAAAAAAATAAGACAGGCATCTTGTTTAGAGCAGAAATAGATATATTTAATATTGTATACTTAAATATTTAAGAAGTCATACGGGGAGGGGAGGGGAGGGAACACTGCAAAAATAAAAATAAAAAAATAGTAAAAGTTATACGTGTAAATATTTGTATTCATCATGCTGAATTCTTGGCGCGTGTGTGTTGTTTTAATTCTAGATCATAAAAGAGTATGAAAGAGCCATCATCTTTAGATTGGGTCGCATTTTACAAGGAGGAGCCAAAGGACCTGGTTAGTACTGGGATTCTGGATTATTTGTCTGGAGAATGAAATTCTTTTTATTGCTGTGCTTTCCCTTATGAGAGTGTCTTCTCTGTTGACCTGGGAGAGAGTACATGTGTAGTAGGAGTTGTATAACAATAGCAGTGATACAAGCCAGGTTTACTTAGTCATCTTTTCTTTTCCTCTTTTCCCCTCCCCTTCCCATTTGAGCTGATAAGATTATCTTAGCCCAGGAATTGTTGTTGCAGCCGGACTCTTAGCCCAGGAATAATTTATGCAATTGAGGTATAAGGTCCCTGGGGTAGGGGAAAGAAAGAGAACTGAAGTAGCAGTGAGAGTTACTACCAATTATTCATTTGACAAGCTTTGATTAAGCTTCTACTGTGTTGGCAGTTCAAACCCATCCAGCAAGCCACAGAAAAGGTTGGTGATCTGCTTTTTATAAAGGTTACAGCCAAGAAAACCCTATGGAGCAGTTCTACTCTGTAACACAAGGGTCACCATGAGTTGGAATTGACTCGGCAGCAGTGGGTTCTGTTTGTTTGATGTTCCAGTAGAAGAATTCTAGAGACTACTGGGAGTGCAAAGGGACTAAAACACAGTCCTAACCTCAAGTATTTCACTCTCTAGTGGTGGGACACCACAGTCCTATGTGATATTATAAATCAAGTAATCAGAGAGCTATGGGAACACAGAGAAGAGAGACTGCCCCAAACTAGTGGGATGAGACAGAGCTTTTCTGGAGGTACAATCTTGGCTGAGTCTTCAGGCATGAAAAAGGATTAGCCAGAGGAGAGGTATTCCAGCAGAAACAGCAGCAAAGCAACATGGAAGAGCATATTGCAAGGTCAAAGAACTGCAGGCAGCTCAGTCCAGCTAGAGTCCAGGGTGTGAGGAGAGGGGAGGGGCTGAAGGCATGGGGGAGGTGCATGCATGACTTTGTACTTTAGGAAATAGTGCTCTGCTTGCACCTTAGAAGAAGCTCTGGTGGCGTAGTGCCTAAGGCATTTGACTGCTAACCAGAAGGCTGCAGGTTCAAACCCACCAGCCAGTCCTCTGAAGGAAGACTGGGCAACCTACTTCTGTAGAGATACTGCCTCGGAAACCCAAGGAGGGAGTCACTTAGAGAATGGATTGTAGCAGAGAAGCTGGAAGAAACAGAAAGGTAGCGTAGGAAGCAGTTGCATTGGTCCAAGGGAAAAATTATGCATGGCAGTAACAGTGGAGACATATAAGGAAATGAAGTCCACAGGCCTTGATGGGGACACTTAGATATGGGAAGCAAGAAAGAAGAGTCCAGGATAACATTCTTGGCTTCTGGCTCATAGGGGGTAATTTACTGAGATGAATTGGGGGTTTTCTATTGATTAAATGCTTCTATTAGAATTGAAGGGAACCAGTTAGGTGCCTGTGGCTCTTTATAACCCTCCATGTACCTCTGTTGCAGGTTTGTTTTTTATTCTGCCGTGCACTGACAGCTTCATCAAAGTGGACATGAGAACCATTTCATTTGACATTCCTCCTCAGGAGGTAAGGCAGTCTTTCGCTTTGAGTAACTGAAATGTGTGCCAAAGTGCTTTACAATGAGAAACAGCATAGTATAGTGGTTAGCGCACAGGCTCTAGAGCCTGACTGTCCACCCTTTCCTAGCTGTGTGACCTTGAGCAAGTTCTTTAACATCTATGCCTCAGTTTCCTCATCTGTAAATAGAGGTTATAATAATAGAACCTACTCTATAGTGTTACTTTGAGGATTAAATGAAAAATTATATTTAGAGTACTTAGAACAATGCCTGGTAAATAGAAGTGCTATGTAAGTGCTATTATTATTATAAAACATCAAGTGTAATGTTAGCATCATCATTGTCATCTTTTTTTAAAAATTTTTTTTGTGATTTGGGTGAAAGTTTACAGAGCAAATTCATTTTCCATGTATCAGTTCATATACACTTTGTCTCATGATATTGACTGCAGTTTCCCACAATGCAACAGCTGTCTTCCCACTTCCTCCCCATAGTTACTTCTTGCCTGTGTCCTTCCCTCCCATGCACCCCTGCACCTGAGCTGTCTCCCTGTGCATACATAGCCCTTCTGTTCTCCCATGTGTCATCATTTTTTTTTTGCTATCGTTTTTCTTCTCTGGGTTTCTGATCGAAACACAATATTCCTTCTTAAAGTTCTTTTTTTTTTTTTTCACTTCTTAAAGTTCTTGATTTTATTCTCAATAATTGTTTAGAAAAATTAGAAACTTCTCACGTAATATTTGAGATAAACCATATGCTATTAATGCTTTATATTATTTTGTGATTTTTCAGACTACTTCATAAATATTTTCACAGTATTTGAAACTCACAGCAGAACCTCTAGATAGTATATAGGTGCAGTGAGACAAAAGAATTTCTCCAGACTACAGTGGCAGGGCCAGAGCTAAACTCCAGCTCTTTGAATCCCCTACCCATGCTTGTTCCACAGTTCTATGCTAAATGCATTCTAAATTAGCTTCATTATGGCCCTTAAGTAGTGATGGCCATATGGGTACTACATCTTAGGATGCATAACAATCATAGATGAAATGGGACACAAAAGAATACTTACTGTCAGTGTTCCCAGGCCAAAGGTCAGGTGCTCAGCAGGGTCACAGAGCCTGGCCAAGTTGCCTTCTCTTATCACAAAATCCAGAAACCAGCTCAGGAACTTCCTTGCTGATATCAATCCAAGTTATGGGTGACATCAGACTTTATAACCCAAACATACATATTGCTGCCAGAACTAATTTTTACCCACAACAAAAGAACAAGACTGAGAGCATTGCTGTGTTCTCTGCATGTTTTCCCATCTTTCAGGGAAGTCTGACTCTCAGAAGCAGCCCTTTCAGGGTAGCTGAGAACTCTTCTGGCACTTGCCTCTGTAAATATTGCAGACATCTGGCTGGTAGACTTGCTGTAAGCTTCTGCCTTCCAGCTGCATTCTCCTCTCCTGCAAGCTGCTGAGTGCAGAGCCGTTTAGAACTTGGCAAGCAATCCTTTTTCCGATCTCCTGTGAACTTAACTTTGAAGGGAGATAAACAAACACTCTGCCTATGATAAACAGTTGGCAGAGAGGCTGCAGCTTTAGGGAGCGCTGGCTGTGGCAGAGTCACAGTGGCAGGAATTTATCTGGGAATGATGCACATTTTCTTATCACATCATGGCAAATGATTAATTTTCACACAAGATGGTACAAATTCCCCACTTCTCTTCCCAGTAACAAGTATTTTTAGATTAGTACTTTGATGCCTGGCAGTGAGATCAGCTATGTAGTAATATTGTTATTCCCTTCCACTTACACAGCTCTTAACACTTTCAAAAGATATTCATAAACACCTTATTTGATCTTTGCAGAAATTTGGTTGACTTGGGCAGAATTATTAGCCCTGCCTCACAATGAGGAATCCCTAGGTCAAACAGTTTAAAAGTCTTATAGAAATTACCTAGGAAAATACAGGCAGACCTCAAACTACAATTCAGCCCTCCTGACTCACTCCTTATCTCTTTGTCAGTCAATATATTCCTAGAACCTTCAAAACAAAAAAACAAAAACCCATTGCCATTGAGTTGATTCTGACTCATAGTGACCCTTTAGGACAGAGTAGAACTACCCCATAGGGTTTCCGAGGCTATAATCTTCACAGAAGCAGACTGCCACACTTTCTCCTATGTACCAAGTGGTAGGTTCAGATGACTGACTTTTCTATTAGCAGCTGAGCACTTAACCACTGTGCCACCTTTCCTAGGACCATGTTTTCAATTCACTTCTGAATTATTGACCACCTGCTATGTACCGAGGAGCTCTGGTGGTGCAGTGCCTAAGGCATTTGACTGCTAACCAGAAGGTTGGTGGTTCAAACCCATCAGCTGCTCCATGGAAGGAAGATGGGGCAATCTGCTTCCGTAAAGATTTACCACGTTAGAAACCCAATGGGAGGTTGCTATGAGTCAGAATCAACTTGGTGGCAGTGGGTTTGGTCTGGTTTGCTATGTATCAAGCATTCTGCCAGTGCTAGAGATATAAATACACACACACACACACACAGGGGCACTCACACACTCACTATCCATGCCTCAAAGTCATCGTCTGCTAGAGAAGTAGACATATAAATAGATAATGTCACTACAGTGTAAGGTACAATGGATGTGCAAAGGAAAGAGTGCTTACCTTGCTGAATGTGTCAGGGAAGTTTCACAGAGAGAAACTTGGGCTGTGTCTTGAATGGATAGTACAAATGAGCTAGTCTGTTGCTGTGTGAGAGAGAGAACAGAGAGGACATGCAGGAATACCTTTATAAAGACTAGGAGCATGGACATGGTGCATGCATGTGGTGACCTGCATGTGGTCTGATGTATCGTGTGTGCATGAGGGAGTGGGGAGAAATGACACCAGAGAGGCATGGCCAGATGACGCTGTGGCAGGGCCAGATGTCAGAGGACTTATATACCAAACTAAGGACTTACTCAGAAGGCAGTAGGGAGGCACCGAAGCATTTTAGCCAGGGATTACTTAAATTAGGGCTGAGGTATTGTGGCATAAAGTATAGAGGAGGGATTGGGGACAAAGTAAAACAGTAGTTTATTGTCTAAATTAGCTTATTATAGTTCACCAAGTTAGTGTTTTACTCAAAGTTAATACCAGTATCCCAGATGAAGAAATAATAATAAAATCTAATTCTTACATAGCACTTACCATGTACTGGACACTATTCTAGGCACTTAAATATATTAACTCATTGATTGTAGCAACACTCTGCTAAGGTAGGTAGTATTATTAATGTTGATTTCACAGATAAGGAAACTGAAACCCAGCGAGGTTCAGTAACTTGAATTACTGTTTTCCTGGAGCCTCTCAATCAGACAAATTTTCAGTTCAAAACAAAGTTTTGTTAAACATTATATGTTGTTGTTATTGTTGTTATGTGCTGTCGAGTCGGACCTGACTCATAGCGACCCCTCCTTGGGTTTCCGAGGCAGTATCACTATGGAAGTAGGATTGCCCAACCTTCCTTCGGAGGAGTGGCTGGTGGGTTTGAACCGCCAGCCTTCTGGTTAGCAGTCAAGTGCCTTAGCCACTATGCTACCAGAGCTCCTCAACATTATATAGCATGCTATAAATATTTTTTACCTTGCCCTAGCCCTGTGAAACCATTTCCCGAGTGCTTTTTATTCCAGTAATACTGTCCTACTTGTAATTTATCAAACCTAGGCTCTCCCACACCTCTGTGCCTCTTCATATACTGTTCTCTCTGCTGCAAGTGTTTGTCAGCTCCACTTCCCACCCTCAGAAAATGTTTTCTTTCTTTCTTCAAGACTCAGTTGAAGCGTCACTTCTACCACCCACAACTACCTTCCCGCTGTCCTTTAAAGCCTCCCTTGATTCCTCACACTCCTTGAAAATGAAGCTCAAGTCTTCTCAAACCTAATACCCTGGTACCTAATACAGTGTCTGTTACAGAGTAGCCTTTCTATTAATATCTGTGAACAATTGAGTGAAATTACGAATTAATGTGTTTTACTAAATTGTCAAAATACAGTTAACTTCCTCATGTCTTATTAAAGAAAATCAGCTAGTGTTTTAAGATGCTCTGAAGAACAGCTTTTCTCATAGTTGTATTAAAGAAATAGCTGGTTAACAGATGTAAAATTGCTTGCCTAATCTTGTAGATCCTCACCAAGGATTCGGTGACAATTAGTGTGGATGGTGTGGTCTATTACCGCGTTCAGAATGCAACCCTGGCTGTGGCGAATATCACCAATGCTGACTCAGCAACCCGTCTTTTGGCACAAACTACTCTTAGGAATGTTCTGGGCACCAAGAACCTTTCTCAGATCCTCTCTGACAGAGAAGAAATTGCACACAACATGCAGGTGAGGAGCACTGTGATGCCACGAGTTAAAAAACAAGGCAAAGGGTCAGTGGTTGTTGAGAACCTTTTATTAATTCAAGTTGAGGAACCCTTGGTGCTTTTCTTCATAGCAAGGTTTTCTCGAATTTGATAGAAGGGAACTTTTCACACTAGCAGTTCCAAGAGTTAATAACACTCAGATACATGCATTGCTGTTTATTCCCTCCTGTGTGTGTGTGTGTGTGTGTGTGTGCGCGTTTTCTTCCAGAATTAGTATGAACCTTTTCTGTAGCGTTATTTTTCAGCAAGATAGTGCAAGTATTGTTAAAGCTTTATTCCATTGAATTCTCTTGTGACTCTTACTCTTTCCATTCTTAACTGAGTAACAAATGTTGAGTTAAACCTGTTTGTTTAAAATATTTATATTTTTTAAAGTTCCTAAAAATAGGAATTTTATTATTTGTACAAACTTCACTGTGGATAAAATCTGTGTTCTTATTTGATTCCCACAACAACCTTATGGATAGATGGTATGGTTTTATTTCTGCCATTCTAAAGGGAGGAAGTCGAAGCAAAAAGAAATAACATGGCCCACACAGAGTCACATTAGCTCAGGGATCAACAAACTATGGCCCGTGAGTGGACCCCCTGCTGTTGTAGATAAAGTTTTATTAGAACACAGCCACACACATTTGTTCATGTATTGTCTATGGCAGCTTTTAACCTATAATATCATGGTTGAATAGTTGTGACAGAGATCACAAATAAATACCATCTTACCCTTTACGAAAAAGTTTGCCAACCCTTGCGTTAGCTTGTTAGTAGCAGAATCAGAATCAGCTCTTTAGTCCCCCGGTCCCTGCTTCCCCATTTTTCTCCTATTTCTCTCCAGGTGTCATGGAGTTGATTGCAACTCATGGCAACTCCATATGTGTCCGATTACAACTGTGCTCCATGGGGTTTTCAGTGACTGATTTTGTAAAAGTAGATTGCCAAGCCTATTTTTCCGAGTGGCCCCTGGATGGATTTGAACCTCCAACTCCTTCAGTTAGCAGCTGAATGCATTAACTGTTTGCACCATGCAGAGACTCCATTCTCCTATAGGACAGCTACCTCTGTAGCTCTCCCTTAGCTCTTTATCTGCTCCAGGTCCCAGTGAATACAGCCACTGTAGGCATCTGGATTGGGCTGAACAGTGCTTACCTTTTCTCTTTCTAATAGTGTACCCTGGATGATGCCACTGATGACTGGGGAATAAAGGTGGAGCGCGTGGAAATTAAGGACGTGAAACTCCCGGTGCAGCTCCAGAGAGCTATGGCTGCAGAAGCCGAAGCAGCCCGGGAGGCCCGAGCCAAGGTAACCTTTGTTTTTTGTTTTTTCAGTTTATTTTTCCTATTGAGGTTTTGGTTTTGGTAATGACAATAAGTAAGTCATGCCTAGAGTAAAAAATTTGAACTAACTCTGAATTATTTACTAACGGTGAAAGACTTCCCTTATCTCAAATCCAGTTTCCCCAGACACTACCACTCTTAACAGTCATTGGAGTCATTGGATACAGGAATATCTTAACCAAACCCAAGGGCAGGAAGAAGAGTCAGGCCTCACCAGCATTAGAATCAAGGACCAGGAGCCAGAAAACAGCCAGAACTCAAGGGAGCTAATGATTCCATTTCCTGGGCCACATCTCACTATAGATAGCACATGGTAGAAAATGTCAGACTCCCAAGTTTATATGTCTTCCCAATTGAACACTAGAGGAGACAGCCCAGCTTTAATTCCAGATTCACAGAAGAGATATCCTCCTTGGTGCAGCTTTGGTGAAAGGACAAAGTCATATACTAATAAGGTCCCATAGTCCCAGGCCCATGAATGAGGTGGAAGAAGAGGGTCAGTTTTCATAGGAGGGGTTGCTGTGGGTGTGATCCATCTCCCAAAATACAAGAGCAAACCAATTTCTTGTTGTTGTTGTTATAAAATAGTAGTGAGTGGTGCTAATGGACTGTTCTAGTCTACCCTTCTATAACGATGCCCTTTAAGCCACAAATTGGCCACTATAATTTGTTTGCCGGCACCAAAAGAATACTGGCTCGTTTACTTGCACACTGCCTCCAGAATTTTCTATTAACAATAATTTTTAGGCTTTCCTAATGTGGTAACTGATGTTTGTGATGATGGCCTAGTGATAGGGCAAAATCCTCAAGTGCCTTCTCTCAAAACTAAAACCATCACATTTAGAAGATTAAATTATATTTAAGATAATGTTATTAAATATGCCCTACTATAATCTAATTATTTTAGAAATTATGTTTTTACTGAGAATATATAATTAACCAAAAGCTCTGTTTCCAAAGCATATTGAATAATAGAATTTACCATACACAGATTACGTAGAATATCAGAACCAGAAGAGTCCTTGGAGATTATCTTTCTAAGGTGACAAATACCTCTCCCAGATGCTGCCACTCCGCCCCCCTATTCCCATGCCAGTAATTAACCAGAGCACTGTTTTCCACTGAGCTTAGACTTGGCTTCAGAACCCTCAGTGCTCCTCTTAACAACCATCAATTGCTTGGAGTTGGCTGTCAAAATGAAACTTGTTTGCCATTCTGCTATTCAGATGAAAAATTGAAGTCCAGAAAAATAAGTGTTTTCCTTAAGGTCTAACAGTCAATTAGTGGCAGTAGAAGTTAGAACTCCCCTCTGTTCCACATTATCTTTTTTTTTTTTTTTTTTTAACTTTCTATCTCGGAAGGAAGGTTGGGCAATCCTACTTCCGTAGTGATACCGCCTAGGAAACCCAAGGAGGGGTTGCTATGAGTTGGCGCCGACTCGACGGCATATAACAACAACAACAACATTGTGATATGGGTGAAATTTCACAGAACATATTTGTTTCATTCAACAGTTCATACTCATTTTGTTTCGTGACACTGATTACAATCCCCACAGTGTAACAGCTCTCTTCCTACTTTCTCCCTGTGGTTACCCTTTCCCAGTGTCCTTATCTATGCATTTCTGTCTCCCTAGTTATCTCCATGCTCAAATGCTGCCCTTCCTCCCATGGTTGGTTGTTCCAAGGAGTGCATCTCCCTGGTGTAATTATTCAGCTCCTAGGACTATCGTTTAGCGAGTTTAATTCTAGGCCTGAAGAGTTCTTAGGGGCCAGGGGCCATAGACTCGAGGGTTTCACCAGTTTCTATCCCACCAGTAATCCTGATCTTTTTTGTGTTTTTAAATTTTGTTCCCCATTTTTCTCCCACTGCATCTAGCATCTCCAATTCTGATCCCTTTCTGAGTTGTTGGCATTGGTAGCTAGGCACCATCTCGTTCTTCTGATCTTAGGGTCATGTGGCTGAGGTTCCCATGGTCCCTTGGACTAATTGTTTCCATGCATCTTTGGGTTTTTTTTTTTTTTTTTTTTTTTTCACTCTTCTGTGCTCCGGATGCTCCACATTATCTTCTCTGGGACTTCCCCACGGATGTGACCTGAGCCCCTTCCATGAGCATTCTCACTGGTTTGGAAAGAGGGTTCCTATCTTCCCTTGATAACAATAAGAAATGACAAAGGAAGCCTGTTGGAATTCTGGATTACCGTGCTCCCTCGTAGATGGGGCTCTGGGGCCAGTCCAGAAATAGTCTCATGACCAGGACAGTGACTGCCTTTAAGATGATGGTTAACATATAGAACCACAGTGAGGCCTAGGCCTTCTATAAAATACAGTAATCCTGCAACAACCATAAGGCTTAGCTTCAAGTTTTCATTAAAAATAAGAGGTCATAGTTTCTTCAACATATAAATTACAAAGGAAAAGAGAAAGAACGTGGGAAAGCCTATAGATTAAGAGCCTTCAGAGAAAAACTCCTCAGGTTCATTAGCCATCAGGGAAATGCAAATTCACACCACAAGAAGATGCCACACTAGACATCCATCAGAATGCCAGGCATACCTACAGAATTATAAATAATAAGTATATTATAAAAAAACAGACAAATAGAAACTAACCAGTTGTGGGTGATGAAGGAACTAGAACTCTCATACTCTGCTGGTGGGAATATAAGGTGGTACAACCACATTGGAAAGCTGTCTGGCAAGACCTACTGAAAGTAAACATATATATACACACACTCTATGAGCCAGCAGCTTCGCCCCTAAGAATGTCTCTAACAGAAACACACTTAAATGCTCATGTAAGGCACCTGCTGGAATGTTCACAGCAGCACTCTGTCATTGCCCCAGTCGCAAGCTGCCCAGGTGCCCATCTCGGGTTTACTCCCATATAGGACACAGCAAGGAGAATGAACAGTCTACATATAAATGCTCATAAACATAATATTGATTGAAAGAAGTCAGTCACAAAAAAAAAAGGGAGATTCTCCCGAGAATTTGTACAGCATGCTAGCTGAACCTCTTGTAAAAGTTTTTTACACCGGCCCTTAATGGTTTGAAATGTAAGGTTTTTGCACTTGCAGTCTCCCTTGTTTCCTTTTCATACTTCTCAGAAAAATGCCTGGCATGTGCTTTCAGGATCATATGCCTAGACCTAGCCTTCTGTTAGTTGAAATGCAAAAGACCACCTTTCTGTGCCCTTCCCTCTGACCAGCCCATTTGGTCAGCAGAAGGAGAGAAGCTGATGTGTGTACACTCTCACATACATGAAAATACCTGATTGAACTATACAAAACATTGTTCCACCTCCTACTTTGGCGAGTAGCGACTGGGATCTTAAAAGCTAGCAAGCTGCCATCTAGATACAACAATGGGTCTCTCCTCGTCAAGAAGAAGAAAATCAAAATTAATGGAAACAATCAGTCCTAGCGACTGGTACACCATCTGATCTGCAACCTATACAACTATGAGACCAGAAGAACTAGATGGTGCCCGGCTACCACTGTCATCCACTTGGAAGGGATGTAGGAGATCCTGCATAGAGAGGGAGAACAATGTGGAACAAAACTCAAAATCATTTGAAGGTGGGGACCAGGTTTGCTGGTCCAGTAGAGCCTGGTAGAACCACTGAGACTATGGCCCCTAGCTGCCCTTCAGGTCTGGAATTGAACCCACTCCTGTGGTTGCCAGCCAAACAATGTACAGGCATGTGAGTTAAACATTTACCTCAAGTAGACACACGCCCTAGAGAGAACAATCATGGGAGAAGGAAGGGCTGCTTATGCACAGGGAGACAGCTCAGGGCGCAGAAGAGTATGGAGGGATGGACACTGGGAAGAGGTAACTATGGGGAGGAAGTGGGAGGGGAGCTGTTGCATTGTAAATTTTGGTCAATGACATGAGACAAAGTATATTATGTGAACTGTTGTATGAAAAGTGAATTTACTCTGTAAATCTTCACCCAAATCAAAATAAAATTAAAAAAAAAAAAAATACGTGATTGAGAATGCCAGTTTGTAAATCAAGCAGTGTTGATCGACAGGGAATTACTGCACATTTGGCAAAAGCTCCGGAGGCCGACAAGTCGTGTGCTTTGCTCTCTGAGAGCCTATCAGCAGAGTGTACTTGGCCTGTATTTAGGGAAGCCAGTGGTGGTGTTCTCGCATCCTTGGCAGTCGGCTCAGAGCAGCTTTTCTGTTAACAACGTGTGTGCCCAGCTGGTGGGCCTGGCTTCCCAGTCAAGAGACCACATTGATTAGTAAGGGAAGATGAGATATCTTTGTAGTTGATCCATATCCACATAAAAACAGCACCTAATTGGACATCTGAGATGACATGGAAAGAATGCAGAGCCTGTTGTTCTCGTGGTGGGTTTTTTTCCAGCGTCTGCTCTGCAGTGCCTGCCTTGGAGGACAGTTACATGACTGGTTATCTTTAGGCATGGCTGGCACTTTGCCCTTTGCAGCCCTAGGTAGCACATAACGGTTTGCCTTGATAAGTTAAGGTCCTTTCTGTCAGTAATTGCCATATCCTATAGCCCTTATCTCAGTTAATGGCATTACCCATGGAACTTAAACCTGTATTCCTGTACTTAAAGCCTGTATTCCCCTCTCCTCCCCATACCCAGTCAGTCTCCAAATTCTGTTGATTCTCCCTCTTGAAGAGCTCCCAAATGCATTTCCTCATCCTTCCCTATACCAGTGAATCTCACCAACCTCTCTGAAGCAGTTCTACTTGCAGCTTTCAATCTCTTCTCTTCAAATCTGTGCTCAGACATCCGTCATAGGGTTTCCTAAAACTAGATCTCCTGCTGTTACTTACCTACTTAAAATCATTCAGTGGTTCTCCATTGCCTGCAGAGAGATCCAACAACCTGGCCTTCCCTGCGACTTCGGATCCTGGCTCCTACTCATCCTCCACTTTTCTCTTCTTCCTCCCACAGCATTGAGACACTTACAGTTTTCTAGAATATACCAGGTTTTTTACTATGCAAAGTATTTTTCATTCATTCTACCTGAAATGTTTTTCTTCATCTTTGTCCAACTAGCAGACTTTCCATCCTTTAATATGACTTCCTCACCTCACCCTCTGCAAAAATTCCTTTCCTCTCCATACTAGCAGTAGGCCTTGTCTGTATATCGGTTATCGTATTTATCACACCAGAACTGACATAACAAAGCTACTTGTTTGCATGTCTTCTCTGCTTGAGCAAGACCTCCTTCAGGGTAGAGATTCTGCTCACTATCTGTATCTCTGGGAGCTCTGGTGGCGTAGTGCCTAAGGCATTTGACTGCTAACCAGAAGGCTGGCGGTTCAAACCCACCAGACACTCCTTGGAAGAAAATTGGGCAATCTACTTCCATAGCGATTCTGCCTCGGAAACCCAGGGAGCGGTCTCTATGAGTCAGATCTGACTCGACGGCAGTGAGTTTGGGTTTTTTTGGTATCCCTGTCTCCTCTACTGGAGTTGACTCTTAGAAGGTCCCAGAGTTTGCTGTATAAGTGAATGGAATTCAATTGGTCATAAGACCATTGCTGCCAACTCTGATATTTGCAGGAGTATTATGAACTGTTAGTATTTTGAGATTTATTGAGGATGAACTGGTGAAACCGTACTTTTAATCTTGATGATTATGGTATCTTTACACCTTTTCTTCTCCTAGGTTTACTAATCAAAAGTAACTGCCTTGCCATAGCTTCTGGACTTTGTTTATTTTCTTGTGGTAAAAAGCTTCTGACTGTTTTATGTATTAAATTGGATCCCAAAATCAGGTTTTGATTTGTCACTCACTATTCCTGTGTGATAGCCTCCATGTGTACTTTCAACATTTAATATACCTCTGTCTTCCTCACAGTGGTCCTATAAGCAGTTGTCTCATTTTAAATATGAGAACTTGAGGCTTGGGGATGTTAAATAAGCTCTTTGGGGATATTCAATTAAGAAGCGTTAGATTTGGGTAAAAATTTGTCATTCCCAAGCCCCTGTTCTCTCCAGTGATCTTCATAAATTTTTTTGCCCATGTAACCCCTAAAAGAATTCAGAAAAAACTATATATTTCCACACACGTTTTAACATGTAAAAATTTTCATCATGAGTTTTTATACTTGGAAAATGTATAATTGTATTGTACAAATTGGCATATTGTAAATATTCACATTCTAAAATAAAATTATTAACATCATCCTTATAAATGTAGCCAGTGAAATCTAAATAACAAGGATATAATCATCCATCTAAAAATATGTGAATGAGGTCTTATTTACACTCAAAAATTTTATCTAATACATTTTATTGTGAATTACTTTATTTCCCTACTGCAGCATATTTAGTATGTAAGTTAAAATTAATTTTTTAAATTTCCTATGACTATAGGAAGCCCTGGGGGTACAGAGGTTAAGCATTCATTCAGCTGCTAACTGAAAGGTTGGTGATTTGAACCCACCAGCTGCTCCTGTGGAAGAAAGATGTGGCAGTCTGCTTCTATAAAGACTACAGCCTTGGAAACCCTATAGGGCAGTTCTGTTCTGCTCTGTAGGGCACTATGAATAGGACTCAATTGCAATGGGTTAATAAACAAAGATCTGAATATTTCAGAAGATCTTCTAAATAAAATAAAATTTTATAAAAAATGTTTCTCTTAATAAGATGAATGAGGAATTCATTATTTGTAGATGGCTGTTATTGTTAGAATGAGACAAGATTTAACATCTAGTTCCATTTCTCTTTTTCATTTTTATAAGAACTAAGAAGCCTTGTCTCCATAAATAAATAGATAGAAATGGAAGTTTTGGTTAACATCATGTTACGTAGTTCTTAACACTCTGAGTTTATGTGCTAAACAATCATACAACAAATATGTTTAAAGATCTATCAGCTTTCAGTTGAATAAGGTCCCTTTCTTTGAAATCAAAGAATTGGAAATCCACCTGACTTACAAAAAAGGATTTGTATCCAGTCATTGGAGTTATTCACTTTCTCAGCACCTATTTTGAATTGTCCCTTTGTTTGGTCTGCTGGCAAGTGGGAGAAAGGCCATGGTGAAAGAGGAAGTCTGAACTTCAGGCAAATCAGATTTAGGAAGAAGGACAGAAGGAAACGAGTACCACCTGAGATACACATACCCCAGTTTGAAGATTGTTGTGCTACACCTACACCATGCTGCACTCTCCAGTTGTATTCTCTCTGTTTATTCCCACTGTTCAGGTCATCGCTGCCGAGGGAGAAATGAATGCATCCAGGGCTCTGAAGGAAGCCTCTATTGTCATCACTGAATCTCCTGCAGCCCTTCAGCTCCGGTACCTTCAGACCCTGACCACCATCGCTGCTGAGAAAAACTCGACGATTGTCTTCCCTCTGCCCATAGATATGTTACAAGGCATCGTGGGGGCAAAACACTGAGCCACATAGGCCAAGGCAGAGATGCGCTACCCCCTGCAAAGGAGGAAGTAGGGGACCAAATTAGCTTTTAACCCATAAGGAGAGAGTAGGGTAGGGGAACTTGCATTTTCTCCCTCCCTTTCCTTTCCCCTATGTTGAGTTTGTTGTTCTTAGAATACATAGTGATCAGAAAGACAGATGAAACAATGTTTAGCTTGTAAATACTGGGAGAGAGAAATAGACTGATGATTTATGTAAGACATGTCTTTAAAATATTTAAAATTCTTACTTTCAGATCATTCTGTAGGTTAAATCCCTCTTCTTTTGGTTTCCCTTGAGTCATTCTGCACCCTCTATCAGCAGCTAAGCCAAAGGCAAGAACAGAGGCCATAGCACTGCCTGATAACCCTAGCTGGATAAATGCTCTGCAAAAAGCTATCACCTTATGCTGTAACCAGCTTCTCTGGGCCATACGTGCCTTACTTCCAGGGAGCCTTAATTGAAGGAAATGTCCTTAATGTCTTTTTACTTTTTGGACATAAACATGTTTCAAAATAATCCTCACTTGAGAGTAGAGGTTTTCTTGACTGAACCCGTCAGCACTGGAGGAAATGGTCAAGACTTCAAAAATATTACTCTAATCCTATAAAGACCTTAAAACCTGCCAGTTTAGAGGTCTTTTTAAAAATAACATGTGTTTCTTTTTTATTTTTTAAACTTTTTTGAGCCTCCTTTTCGAGTAAATGAGTCCTCTGTGTTCTACTGTTCAAACCAGCTAAATAGCTTATCCCAAAAGTCCCACAAGTACTTGTTTCTTACTTCTGCCTATTTTCATATATCAGGTTTTAAATAGTTTTAATTTTTTAAAATAAAGGTTTCTCAAATTTCTATAAGGAATTGTTTGTATACCCATTTGAATAGCTTAAGAACTAATGTACTTTTTGATGTCTTCAGAAAACCATTCTGTTTTACTCTCTGCATGCTAGTAACTATTGTACATTGTGAAATATCTTGGTTACTGACTCATTCATTAAGTAATATAAGGAATTCACAGTATAATGGACTCATGATACTTAATTAGCTTGGGTAGATGCTATCAAACTTAGGATATCTATATAGATTTATGGATTTTCTTTTTCAAATCTCAATCGTTTTGCCTGGTAAGTCTTTTTCTATCATATGGGCTGATTCTGAAAGAAATGGTCAACTTTGCTAATCTCCAGTTTCTTAGTCTGTAGTATTAGGAAACACTTTCCATTTTGCAGATGCCTGTGAATCTGAGCAACCTGACATTGTTCCTACTGGTCTGGAAGGCTGGCTGGTGGTGACATTTGTAACACTTCCTCTTTGAGGCTCTGTGTTCACTTGGAGAAGTCTAAGAATCGTGGCTTTCTTATCCAGGGCCACCCTCCCCACCTGTCAGATCACTCTGTGTCTGCGTCCCCACACTCCACTTACAAGCTTATTTTAGAAACCTTGAACCACCCTTTCTTCGTGTATCAGATTATTAACTGAGTTTATTGAAGGCATATGGAACATGTTGACTTAGAACTCAAGTTACATTTATATTCTGAATCTTAAGTGATGGTTCTCTGTTTTGTGAGGTGCCTCACCTTGACTACCGAGAACTGGGAGAAACAGCTCCATATCTTAATTGAAAATCTCTTCTCAGACATGAGTAACAATGCTTTTGGGTCCTTGAGTTTCAATATCTCCAGTTACCAAACATCTTTGCCTTCTTGCCTTGTGAACCCATAGCCCTACAAGTTGGAATTAAATTGCTTGGGGAGAGGGAAACATAGAATGAGCTTTAGGATGAGTGTATCAGTGCAAGTTTCTTTCCAAGTGGCCTCCCTTTCCAGTGACAGACATAAAATAATAAAGTATGTACTTTTACTAATTTTCTTTGGGTGAGAGTGTGTTCCTGCCTGCATTGAGTGTGTGTAGATTTCATTTTTCAGATGTGGTACATGATATCCTCCAGTCCTGGGCTGGCTGCCTTGTCGCCTTTGTGTGTTCTCACTGGCCAGAGGAAGTGGGGGTGGGGAGGCTGCAGTTACCGATCTAACATCTCCCATCTCCAAGCTCCCTCTGATGCATCTGGTCATGCATTTTTCCAGGGGAATTTGAGAGCCATATGCCCCCTAAAGTCTTGGCTGACTTCACTTCTTTTGCCTTTCTCAGACAGGAGAGTAACCCACTTCTTGCTGTCACTGGGTGTTTTGGTTACCTCTCATGTTGCTTTGCCAGGAATAGACCACAAATGAGATGGCTTAAAGAAACAGGAGTTTATTCTCTTAACAGTTTTTAAGACTAGAAGTCCAAGTTATAAGTGCCAGGTTCAAGAGGCTGGGTGAAAGCCCCTCAACCTTGGGCTTCAGCTCTGCCTCCTGCTCCCAGCCCACTGGAGCTGGAGGGTTTCTTCACTCAGCCAGCTGACAGACCTAAGGTCAACAAGTGAAAAGGCACAGCCCTGATATTACCAAATCACACAGTGGGCCATTGATTCAAGTCCATTGAAAGTTCCCAGATCAGCAGGGCATGGCAGGCTGCTGAGTGACAACTTGGCTACATGCAGGGTCTAAGCATGCCAAAAAGCTATAGACCATTCCCAAGGCTGCTTCTTACATACAGGAAGCAGACCACATCCCTAAAGCAGCTACTCAGCTGCTTGTGGCAGATCCCAACATGGAGTTGATTGCCAGTGTCATCATGGGGAATAATTATATCTAGCTGCCCATCCACTCAAAACTAGGTGCAGCCAAGTTGGCACATGATCTTAACTACCACACTCAGCTCATAACATAGGTATACCCTCTACTTTGTCATATAGGGCTCCTGTGAGTTTGAATGAGGAGCTCTGGTGGCATAGGGGTTAAAGCATTCAGCTGCTAACCAAAAGGTTGGTGATTCAAACTCACTGGCGGCTCCGCAGGAGAAAGATGAGGCAGCGTGCTTCTAGAAACCGTATGGGGCGGTTCTACTTTGTTCTAATCTTTGCTGTGATTTAGAATCAGTTTGGCAGTGGGTTTTGTTGTTGTTGTTTTATCAGAACTGACTACAGCACACAACCACAACCTCTACCTTTAAGTAGAGAAGTCAATGATATAAAACCAATAGATGTTGCCTGCAACATTCAATCTTTAAAGGACCATCCTGAATTAATGGCTGCCGTTGGTGGGTTGCTTAGCCTTGTGCTCAAGCACTTGTAGATACATTCCATCATTTTATCCTCAACTTAGCTTGATGAAATAGATGCTTTTCTCATCCCCATTTTACAGATGAGGATACCAAGGCTCAGAGGTTAAAACGTGCTCAATGCCACATTGGTTGGTAAAGAATAGAACTGGGATTCAAACCCAGATTTTCCTGATGACAATTCTAAGGTGTCTAAATGTATCTTTTGTTTGTATGCTGGCTGCCACCAGTGCTCCATGCACAAACTACCACCAGTCACTTTATATGTAGATCATAACTTTTTCAAACTTGTAGTTCATTTGACTAGTGGAACTTTGTATCCACACCCAAGCAGGACATAAACTTTAGTTTCTGATCTGATCGGGGCTAAATCTCAGTGCAAATGGAGGGAATAGATGGGATGTTTATAACCACAACACTAGCCTGAGTTGCAGGAAACCAAAGTTCCATGGATGGTTGAGTTTACTTAGCCCTTTAAAATATATTACCCATTGTAATCCTAACAATGCCTTGCTGGCCCAAGGTCAGATAGGAAATAGTGAGCCCAACACTCTTCTTACAATGAATTTCAAATATTTTTTCAGCAGCAGACTCTATTTTTTCAAAGGAAACTACACCGGTCTTTTACCAGTATAAATCCTTAAATTGAAATGTATAATATTTACTTAATATAGTCAGTGAAAACAGTAAGACTGTTGTAAAAAATTTTAATTGGAGTTGTAAACATAGTTGCAGTCTTGGGACTCTGCATTTAATTTCTCCATTTTGTTTTCCAGTGTTTGTGATTTTTATAACCACTTTAAAAATGGAATTTTAATCAGACATTTGTAAAATGACTTAGACACTTCATAGAATTCTACAGATCATAGTTTGAAATTCACTGCTCCTAACTGCTTTTCTCAATTGACCATTGAACTTGTAATATGACCTTAGATAAGTCATAGCCCCTTTCTGACCCTTATTTTCATGACCTGTAAAATGAAGAGGTTGAACTCTGCCGTTTGGACCTTAGACCTTTTGAGAGTGTGTTGGAAGCTAAGGAGCTATGTCTTTGAAAAGTGTGTAGTGGTAATGCACACACGTATTTACGTACAATTTCAGAGGGTACATTGACCCCCGCCACCAAGCCTACCCCAAAACTTAAGAGCCACTAGACTTGATAATCTAGGATATTTTTCTAACTTCAAAGTAGGAACTAATGAACTAATGAGAAGGCAAAGGAAGCACAATTTGACTGCCGAGTACCGTACAAGGTACTTTAAACATCTTTGATTTCCACATACAATCCCAATTGTGTTGATGAGACCATGGTAAAAATCCTGGATTCTTTGGAGTTAATTAATGATGGTCTCTCACTGTGATGATGATAACATCTATAGCAGCTGGGGGCTCAGGTGAAGTTGGGATTTGCCTAACGGATCCACCTTGCTAATAAAATGCCTCCCTTTTCAATGTACCCTGTAGAAGAGTGATGAGAAAGGAGATCGAAACCACCGACAAAGCTGAGATTTTAGACACCTCTAAAAACTTAGTAACCGCATGGCAGTTAGGAACCTTCCCTAAAAGCTTCTGGTAAGAATTGGCTGGAAATTCAGCCTTCTGAAAATTATTAGGTGCCACAAGTCTGGAAGCATGCATTACTCTTAATAATTACTGCATATAGGTCAAAACAAGTCTCCAACAAAGTGACTGCCAACCCAACGTCCATTTACTCTCTTCCTCCTTCCTGGAACCATGGCTTTTTTTAGTACCTCCCCCTTACAATTCTCACTTCAGAGAAAAAGAACTTACCCTCAAGTTGTAGGATGGTCTCTAAGTAGCCTAGGGATAATTCCATCCCAAGGAGGGATCACTATGAGTCGGGTCTGACTCGACGGCACATAACGTA